AGGGACAGGGACAGGGACAGGGACAGGGACAGGGACAGGGACAGGGACAGGGACAGGGACAGGGACAGGGACAGGGACAGGGACATAGGAAACTTTAGTAACTTAATTAAGTTAAGTAACTTAAAGAAATTTAAAGAAACGTATACTTTTTTTTTTAAATGACAAATACAAGTAACGAAATAGCGTCGTGCATCCCCCCTTTTGGCGCAAGTGTAGTGACTCAGGTTGGCATGCCTAAGGTGAGCCTCTGAGCGCAGGTTCAAATCCCAGAGAGCAACTCCACAACAACAAAGTTTTGTTTCCAATGGTTTTTATTGTACAACTAACACAACAACTAAAGTGCATATACCAAACACCATACTACAACACTTAACATTAATTTCCTCCATATCATTCATACCTTTGAGTCCACTGTTGCCTATCTGACCGGGACCTCCGATCATTCCGGGAACACCCCTGGCACCAGGTAATCCATGCGGTCCCTGCGGCCCGGCAGAACCGGGAGGTCCGGGAGGCCCCGGGGGGCCCATTACGCCGGCACCCCCCATCACGGCCCTTTTGGCACTCACCGCTACTGCAGCTAGCCTTTCTGAAACCCCAACGACATACATCAGTTTTACATGGCATGTCATAACTCCACACATTGTGCACATTCAATTACAGATGCTCACCCTGCAACATCTTCAGAACCACTTCAATGATATGCTGGTCAGACGCATCACGGCCCTGAGGTAGAAAAAACAAACAGAGGCCCCATGCAACACCTTCCCTTTCAATCGTGCCAATACAACTTTAACACTACATCACATTTCAAACATTTAGCCCACTGCTTGCATTCTCTTCTAACATAACATATTAGTTTACCATAATTGAAATACACTCACCGCTGACCCCTGAATACCAGGCATGCCAGGTACTCCGCGCTCACCATTCAGTCCCCTAGGACCAGGAAGTCCTGCCGGGCCCTGGTCTCCCGGTTTACCTGGATCCCCGGTAGGTCCGTTGTATCCAGGGTCACCTCTAATTCCTTGCTGCAATGACAAATGATAACATAGGACACATTATTAGGACAAACCGGTAACAAAGGAGAACTGCTAAGTAATGTGACAAAAAGCTTAACACATTTCACATTGTCTGATCCTTACCTGTCCTTTAGGTCCCGGTTCACCAGACAAACCCTGACAAAAAAATACATATACATTATTCAAACTCATCTTTCCATTTCACCCAAATGATACACATTTAGCTCTGAATTTAGGAGGGCTTCGGTAAATTAATGTCTTCAAATGTGGCTCACATGGGCCACCGTCAATGGAGTGTCATGGTCCCATAAACTGCTCGTCTCTGCTGGGATATATGGAAATGTGTATGCAAATTTAACAATACAACTTTCCCTCCTCATAATAGAAGAGATCAATCACTCTGGGGGGGGGGGGGGGGGGGGGGGGAAATGGATTCTGAGGGGAGATGGAGTAGAAAAAGAAAGGGGTGAAACATGTAACAACTTCTTACCTTTTCACCTTTCTCACCAGCCAGTCCCTCGACACCAGGGTCTCCCTAAAAGAAAGAAGAAAACACAGAGTACCTCAGGAATACTTCTTGTCAGTACAAAGTTGCCGTGTGAGCTGAAGTATGAAGTATCAAACTAGTACTCACCACATCTCCTTTTGAACCTGGTTTTCCCTGGAAGCCCTGCAGAGAATGTATGTCAATGTCATGTTGATCTAGGTGGATGACACCACAGATCATAAAAGACCACAGATACTGTATATACATGTCTAACTAATAAAACAGCTGTGAAAACATTCATGTTTTCACAGCACTATTGCCCCTGTGGATTACTCTATGTAAGTGTATATGCAAAAAATACAATGATGCACAAATGTTCTGCTTGCTCGTGTACACAAACTCACCTTGTCTCCCTTGGTTCCACTAAGGCCCTGGGCACCCGGGACTCCCATAGGCCCTCTCTCTCCTTTACCTCCCTGTTTAAACACAGAGGTGTGAGAAACACAGAACGTATCAGTCCTCATTCCTAAAGTGCACATGCAACCTCCACGCCCCTGTTCAACTTACGGCCTTTCCGACGACTCCCTGTGGGCCCACTGCTCCCCGTTGGCCTCGATCTCCCTGCGGGTGTCAGCTACAGGTTAATGATTGTGCTTGGATGCCATCCTTTATCGTAAAAACTTTTCCATAACTACCTTCGGCCCGGGAACTCCTTCCATTCCAGCCTCGCCGGGCAGTCCGGGCTCTCCCTGGAAAAACGGGAGTTTGGAATATCAGCTGGCTGCACATTTAGCAGTACTGTACATATAAAGTCAGTAAATCAAGTGTACATA